GCGATGCACTGAAAAGGTTAATGAGATAACATTACTGTAATCTGTTCTCATTTATGTCATTATAATGTTATAAAGTTTGATATGAAGGTCCAGGCGAGAGAACAGTGTCTGATAACACTGATACACTCTGCACATATAGACAAAATACTGATTGTGGACGGTCGATTTGTCTTAAATCCCATTCATCCCAAGTCCATTCGTCCCAGAGGTTGATTTATCCCAGGGCGTTTCGTCCAACAAATGTATTCGTCCTGAAGTCGATTCGCCCAACAAGTTTATACAATCAGCTTCATACTAACTTGTCCAATAAACGCAACAAGATCCAAACAACAAACTGTATCTAATCGTGATCACACACTCACCCAGAAGACTGAACCTCAGTCCTAATCGTGTATTGTATCACACTTTGAAATAAAGTTAATCCGTCCCTTGTCAAATCAAGTTATATTTTAATCATGGTAAAAGTTTTTTATTTCTGAATATCAGGAAATATTGTTGTAAGGACATCATGTTGACCTTTCTGATTGCATTTAATATGCATCTCAAGCATGATTGTCTTGTTACCAATATATTAAGGTAGTCAACCTTCACAAGATCATACAGCTAACCAAACACAATGGGACGAAAGTGTATTGGGAATTCTAATTTATCATCTACTGGGAATCTACTGTTTGATTTCTAATTAGATCAAAAAACAATTTGTCATGTGGTTTCATCTTGTCACTACAGATGCTGATAACTTATCATCAAATGTCTGTTGACATGTGTTATCACATAGCAATGATGACGTCATGTCACAAGCACACACTTAGCAACAATCACAAATGGATAAGTGTTTATATTTGATAAAATAAAAAACATTTTGGAGCTGCAAAACATTAACATTATCAGAACAGAGTATTTGCCCAAGGAGACCATTAAATAATCTGCATTGTTAACCTTCATCTTGCTAGTCACCTCACCTTTTTTGCAGAATGTCAGTGTAATATCACTATCACTGTATCAAGAGGACTCTTCCCATCTTGTTATCGGTCATGGTTAATTTTTTCCCCATCCCAAAAAGCCACAAATTTTTCAAAAAAATTCATTACTTTTTTTTCTTCAGATTTTTAACTGGGGTTCTAGTGTGAAAGTTGCATGTTTTGACCCACTGTATCTATTGGTTAATTAATTCACTCCCCCATTCCCAAGGGGTAGGGGTTGTACCTCATTGAACCACATTGGCATGTTGTAGTGAATTTTCATAAATGTCGCTTAATACTATACACTTTGCTATGACGAAAATATTTCATAATACATGTACTGCCAAACTTGCCCGACCACATTATTCTGACGTGCTTGACCACTAACAATCAAATCTATTTCAAAATATTAGACAATTTCAGTCTTAATAGTGCAGAGGGGGCCTACTAAATAGCGGTAGCTCATTGTTTTAAATTTTAATTATAAACAGCGTTCTCAAAATGATTCAGTGACAACTTTAGCTGTGCCGCAAACTAACGGGTAAGGCTTCATCTGTATGATGTCAGGACACAAACTTTGGAGTTGAGAAGGCACCCAGTTTCAAGATCAAAATTTATAAAATGGCCTTAGGAATATCAAAGGCTCCAATGCAAACTCATTGGGCATCACAGCAATGGCCTTTGATGTCCCTGTAAAGTTCAAGCCCTTTGATGTCCAGCACAATACAGTACATGTATACGTTCTGTTCAGGTAATATTTTAAAGTGCGCCCTCTTTGGCAAGTTCTGTTATTTCTGTTGCCATAATCTACCTCAACTCTGTACAGGGCTCATACCACTAATTGAATTTCCATAGACGACAATGTTAACATATGACAAGATTGCTATATAAAAATGACGAAGAAAGTTGAAAATATGGCTCAAAAATGGGAAATCAACATGCCAGTAATCAACCATATGAAAAAAACTAACATGTTGGCCAGCTCAAACTCTTGCAAATCTCAGGTAAACAAGACACACCTACTGTATTTGGATTGCACCAAGAGAAATCACTGGAAAAACACCAAGATTAGAACATCCATTAACACACAGAATAAACCCACAGGTACACAGCCGCTAAGTAGTAAACAAAAGACCACATGTTGGTCTCACCTCTGACCCAGGTGATTACGCCCTCAAACAGGGAGCACCTGAGAAAAATAATATTTAAAAAATTTCATTGGTTCTTGCTGGGCATTTAAATTGAGGGCTACGAGCAGCATGTACATACATGAGACCTACATGTACATATGTACATGAATTTGAGGATCTATTTCTTTCACTGAGGGTCAATTACGCAATCTCTCGGTAGTATCATTAATAGTATCATGAACATGTTCAAAAAGTAATGAATTGTGGGTGTTATTATTACAACACGACAGATATTTACAAACTGCTCATAGTGTGTACAAATATTATTCTCTCCAAAACCATTTAATGATTAGAGCAACATAAGCATAACATAGTCATAACAAAAATATAATATATTTTAACACTCTAAACATAAAATTCAAAATACAATTTCACAAAATACAATTTAATCATGCTTGCTAGCTCACAAAATTTTACATTTCTTAATCTCTCACTGACCCTATGAGCTCCTATATTCCTAAAACAGGAACTATGAAATTTAAATAAAACAAGCCATGCATGGCACAGTCCCCGTTAGTTATCAAATTTAAGATATATAGTTTTGTTTATAGTAATATAGCTGGAATATAACCATGCCACGAATATGATTACTTGTCCATATTGAGAGATATTGCTCTGGAACAGCATTCAAAATCAGACATTTTGAATACATGTATATATATAACATGATGTATAACGAATATATAAAATTTGAATATAATCAGTCAAAGCATTTAAGAGATATGGCTCTAGAAGCCCATTCATTAAAACAAAATAGCCGCCAGACAGCCATTTTGAATCCGATCTGAAAAATAAACGATGTGCATCAGGAACCTGTAATGTCTAATATATGTACCAAGTTTGAACGAAATTCATCCATAAATGCCAGAAATGCTTGATATTTGATTTTTTTTTTAGCACAAAAATGGCCACCATTTGGCCATTTTGAATAGGATCGTCAAACCAATATATCTGTCTATCTATGACATGATGTATAATGAATATTTAAAATTTTAACATAATCAGTGAAAGCAAGAGATGTGGCACGAGAACCACATTCATTAAAACAAAATGGCTGCCAGTCGGCCATTTTGAATCTTATCTAAAAAACAAAATTATTTGCATCAAGGTCCCATAATGTCCAATGTATATACCAAGTTTGAACAAAATCCATCTGTAAACAGCCGAGAAATGCTTGATTTTTAGGATTTTTTAGCACAAAAATAGCCACCATTCGGCCATCTTGAATCGGATCGTAAAACAAAATGATGTGCATCAAGGTCCCATAATGTCCAATGTATATACCAAGTTTGAACAAAATCCATCTGTAAACAGCCGAGAAATGCTTGATTTTGATGATTTTTAGCACAAAAATGACCGCCATTCGGCCATCTTGAATCAGATCATGAAACAAATTGACGTGCATATGTATAATATCATGTATGATGTATGTGTGAAGTTTGATTGTGATTGGTCCAGGAGGTCAAAACATAAGTCCCCGTTTTCGGACTGCGTCCGAACGGGGACTAAATATGACAAATACAATGAGCTGCTAGCACCGGAAGTATGATGCGTGTAATCATAAACACAATGTACAAAGCCAGGTAAATAAATTTGTTTCTCATATCAATATAATTTGGAAATGAGCTGGTAGGAATTTTTTTTTTTTGACAGAGTTTAAGAGACAGGTGAATATATAACTAACACAATATAAGCAATGAAATTTTGATTGAAATGAAAGGTATTTTGCAGTGCAGATCTCACTCTGTAAAATTGTCAATGTAGAGCGAAGATTTTTTCTTAGGCCTAATGTAGAAGGTACTGAAACATAATAAAAATAAAACTTCCGCAAATAATGCTCTACATAGATAGCCGTGATGGGAAATGTACAGTACATAAAGGGATGTAGATTTAGATCTCAGTGTGACAGACCAAGTCAAAGCTGGCATATCAAGTTTGATAAGCTTGTAAGTTTGGGTAAATAGTGTGGAGATGTGGTGATATAATCTTGCTAGCTTTAATTTTCAGAAATTTAAATGCTAAACCTCGGAACATTGATTAATCATACTATCGTAATCCTTACTTAATTAGTAGGACAACCGGACTTTTGCTAAAACAATAATTACCATACTTTTTTTTCTACTTCAATCATCTGGCAAGAAATTACCATGTTCAGATGCTATTAGTCCATCAGCATATTTGTTCTTATTGATGAGAAGTAGTTAGACCTTTTAGGCTTTGTCTGCATTTTGTTGTTGTTGATGTTTTACATTTTTTCAGCCCCATGGCGATCTTTAATTTAATAATCATTTTACAACTGAAAAACACTCAAAATGTAATTTTAATTTTACCTCTAACAATTGAGCCACCTCTAAAAATATTTGTATATTTTATAGACGTGCATGTTTGTTCTAGCAATTCACATCTATGTTTATACATGTTCAAACTACAGAGAACAGCTTGAAATTTGGAGGCTGATGTTTATCGATTATATAAGTGATGACATTTTTATGACATCAGTTGTTCCCATTAGAACACAATGCACATTTGTAATCTAACTTTTTTTTTTAGGCTGAACTATAAATTGTACAGAATGTAAAGGTACTTACTTGGTCACAGACAAACCAAAGGAAATATATGCACTATCATTGTATTTTTTGTGCCAGATTTCTTGACATTCAAGTCAAGTTTCTGATTTTATTTATATTAATTTTATTCCAGGTAGTTCTACACAAATCATACCTTCATATACTGCAATTCAACATCATGGATATAGAGAGATGTGACACTTTCACTCTTCATCAAACTAGTGGTGGCCAGTTCAGAAAATTCAGTCAGTTAGAACCTCTTACTATTGATAATGGAAATAATGGTGACTTTAGGAAGGTCAGTACATTCAACGAATCAGACCCTCAGGCAACAGTTACTTCAATATCGTCTTTGTCTAAGGTACTCTTCAAAGGAGATATTTTCCGTAAGCATCGACTGATGAGTAAGGACGGCAAATTTAACATAAAACACAAGTCTACACAGGCACCTTCAAGATACCTAGCAGATATATTCACAACTCTTATTGATATCAAATGGCGTTGGAATCTTACAATATTTTCACTAGTGTATGTTGTGTCATGGCTTTTTTTTGGGGTGATATGGTGGCTGATTGCAATAGGACATGGCGATCACATTAAGAGTAATTACAAAGATCCAGAATTCAAGCCGTGTACCTACAATGTGTACTCCTGGTGGACGGCTTTTTTGTTTTCTTTAGAAACGCAAACAACTATCGGCTATGGCTTCCGTTCAGTGACTGACCAATGCTTGCCAAGCATCATCACTCTCATTGTTCAGTCTGTCTTGAGCTGCATGATTGATGCAGCATGTGTCGGCTGTATGTTTGCTAAACTAGCAAGACCCAAAAACCGAGCAGAGACCCTCATGTTCACCAAAAATGCAGTAATTCTTATGCGAAATAAAAAACTAAGATTGGTTTTCCGTGTCGCAGACATTCGTAGAAGCCATATCTTGAATCCTCATGTGCAAGCAAAACTTGTACAGCGTCAAGTCACAGAAGAAGGAGAAATCATACCACTGCATTACTACGATGTCAAAGTTGGTCGTGAGCAAGTGCAGAATCAAATTTTCTTAGAGTGGCCAATAGAAGTTCAGCACATCATTGACGAAAAAAGCCCGTTCTGGGACGTATCTGCTGATGACTTGAAAAGAGCAGACTTTGAGCTCATTCTTATTCTTGAAGGTATCGTCGAACAAACTGGAATGACGACACAAAAGCGTACTTCATACCTCGCCGACGAAATTCTGTGGGGTCATCGTTTTGATCAATCTGTTGTGTGTTTCAACAATGGTGGCTATGAAGTTGACTTTTCCAAATTCAACAAGACTTATAAAACATCAAAAACACCAAGACTAAGCGGCAGAGAACTAGCACAAACCTTGCAAGATAAATTCAAGGTAGTGACAATAAATGAAAATGAAACAGAAAGAAATCGAAACACCAACTGTAATAATTCCCGATTTACATGCTTCAAAGTCGGGAGTGAAGACGAATGTGAATCTACTGACTGCGAAGCATAGAATAAGCTCAGGTAAGTTCAGTAACATTCATGTACATGATTATACAGTAGTTTCTGTAATAGAATTGCGCATGAATAAAAAATGAATTGTTTGCTGGATCAATAAAGCATTTCTATGGCAACTAAGATTATTTTTAAAAAAATCAAAGAACTCTTGTGAGTATTAATACTATATTGGAAGAACATCTCCAATACACATAAAGCAATAATAATAATTGCATGCTAAATTATTGAAATAAGGCTTATTTTTACCATACACTTGCCTTTGTGCTTCTAATAGAGCAAATATGGCATTTAAATATAACTGCAAGCAATGATCAGGGTGGTTCCAAGTAGCTACTAGTATGGTTAAACATTTATGATTATTTGATGAAATAATGAATATACAAGATGATTTTTATTTGATATTTTGTCAGACAAGAAAATTATAACATCAGTTGCATGTCCTTATCAACAATATTGTTTAAAATATTACAGTTATGCATATTAATGAGGTCACATGAACACACTTACACAAAGAAGGTAACTAAAATTCATAGATTAAACCCTGAAGTAATCAGATCTGTGGATTAACCAAAAACGCCTATGTACCAAGTTTCATTGCAGCTTGATGAGTGGTACTCAAAATAACTGTGAAATACCCTCTTACCGTAGTAATTGGTAAATTTATGCAAATTAGATAATTAGTAAGCACACAGCTTGCAATCAGAAACTGTATCGAGTATCATAGAGTAGTAGGTAGTTCTTGAGAAAAAAAAGTGAGAAGGCTTATTACACATAAAATTCATCCCCAAACTAATCAGGTCTGCACATTATCCCAAAGCATCTATGTACTAGGTTTCATTGAAATCTGATAAGCGTTTCTTGAGATATCGGTGAAACACTAACACACATTGTTTCTCTTGAGGTTTACATATCCTGTGTATTTCCTCAGGCCAGACATGTGTATGCTTGGCGTAAATATCTATGTTCTAATGGCTCCAGATGAAAACGTTGGTGGCTCTTGGGAACGATACACAGTTTTTTCCTTAGTTGTAGAGTGTGGGGGTAACCATGGCAACCAGACTTTTTGAATCGTACTTGACAGGCCATAAAAATGGCCTAAGCGCAAAAAATGGTTCTCCTAATAAAATCTTTTCAAAATGAAATTGATTGGAATATTGATATTAAAATAGTTCTGTCTTTTGATTTGGGTCAGTAACAGGTGAGCAGAGTTACCACTCACATTAAAGTCCGACATGAAACAACAGTACTGTTTTATCACAACAACTACTCGACATGTAATGACAACTGACTTTATTCCCCAAAAAATATTGCTAAGGATAAAAAGGCAGGACTCCAGAAGACGTACCTACACTTTATGCAATTTTTTTTTTAATTATGCTAATTTATTCATGATGTAGCAGTTTCTGTGCTCATGAATATTCATTAATTTGTGGGTCAATACATTTTAAAAGGGGCGATATATTATTTTTGGGGGAAGAGTTAGAAAGGGGGATCAGTAATCATTAGGGGGTCAATACAAAAGAAGGGACCCATTTGGAGAGCAGCCATGCTCCTCGTGTCTGTTGTTGCACGTGACCTACAGCTGTCAACTGTGTTCGTTCTTCGTCGACTTCGACTGGCTTCCATGTGAGGTAGTATTCTTGTGTTCTGTTTTTCTGACTTGAATTTTTGAATCCGCTGTTTATGTTTTTAACGTCTTTCATGTCTTTTGTAGGAGTGTCCAATCCGTGATTCGAACTTGCGATCTTTGAGTTCCCAGCGCACTGTCTTGTCCACTGTACCACGAGTGTCTTCACACAAATAATTGGATTTAAGTCCTATTCATAGGAGCATTGTCTTCACTAGCATTCAAAAATCTAACTAAACATACTGGATTCGAACCATCGATCGCTCACAT